AAAGACCGAGAAATATATTCGCTCACTGGATCATTGGTCAAGTGGTGAGATATTTACCAATGCATGTGTTTCAAACCAATGACTTGGTCACTAAAGCATAACTCTGTGACTTCGAATTGTGAGTCGACAAATTCTAAAATGGCTCATCTTTTACTAACAGTAAATACACAGTCACTGGTTTTGAGGTCAATTGGACAGCAGAACTTTACCTCTGCGAACTCACATCACTTGGGTTCTGTACATTTGGTTGTGTCAATTTATTCTCCATGACGCTCCAGTTTAGAATAAACATAAACAATAGCATGTTGAAGCCTTGTCCTACCTGGTATACGACATGTAATGCCAACGTGTAATTGTAAAGCTGTACCGGTAGTGTGCAGTGCCCACCATGTATGTACAGTGGGTCACAAAAGTCATCGTACACCGAACAATTCGATACAAACAGTTAAAGCAAGTGAATTTTGTCATGAAATTTCAGAAAACATTCTAAGCATTGTGGCCAAGACAGTTTTTCGAGACGAATTCATTGGATTCCTTCGTACTAGTAGATGTTTAACGTTTGATTCCACGTAACAACAGGCTCCTATCTCCATAGGAACATAGTTCTACAGTTGCCACCAAATGAAGTTGTCCTTCGTAATGTACTGGGCAACAGCATTATCATTGGAACTTACTCGATCTTACATGTTAGTATCGACTAGGGCGGTTCAAAGTTGCAAATTTGAAAAATGAACTGAATACTAGTATAATCATACCCATACTAAGACCAAGCGTTTTTTCTGGTGAAAGCCAAAGTTAGAAATTTGCAACTTTAAACCGCCCTAGTCGATACTAAACGTCGATACTAAACGTGATTAGATGCTTGAATGTTTTCTGAAATTTCATGACAAAATTCACTTGCTTTAAGGCCCGCCTGGATACCACTTTTTTTGAGAAATATTGCGATAATTTTGCAAAAGAATCTCAGCGACTTCAATTTGGCGTGTCTGGATGCCATTTCTTGACCAAGTTATATTCCATAATTTTATCAGAAATATCGTGAAAACCACAAGAAATAATATTCTACTCATGAGTAGAATATTTTGACGATATTTATAGTGCGCGTTGAATGGACTGGGCATTTCGGAATGAGAAAGGCCATCGTGATTGCCTTCCTACGTCGCCGCCTGGCCAAGGAACTCTTCGCCAGACAGATGGAGTACCACTACCTCACCTTCGACGAAAGAGGACGTCCATCCTCACTGGTCCTCTCTGACGAAGTCCTCTGCGGCTCTGCGCTATCCTCTGATTGGCTGTTCATTTCCGAACTTTCTGTAATTCATGGCATCCAGACACACCACCCAAAATCATTCTTGGATCTTGAAACCCAAGAATTTCCTGCGATGTCGAAAAATGTTTTTTATTCAATATTCCAATATCCCATAATATTGGTGGGTGGCATCCAGACGGGCCCTTAAGTATCGAATTGTTTGGTGTATGATGCCTTTTGGGAGCCATTGTGCATGCATAAGACCTCTATCACATCTCTGACTTCGGGTGCTCCTATTTATCTTGATTTTTGTATGTACGGCGACACTTCAATACTCAAAGGTTCAGTACTGGGGTTTCATTCATTATTGGAGGATATGGGTCTTTCGTTATACTTGGCATTTGTATATATACTATGTAACGCCTCGATGATACAGTTATGTATTCTGGGAGGTATGGAGTGCCGGTTCCATGAATGCGATCTTGAGCGCAGTTTCGGATTTTGACACGCTGCAGGCGGTACCACGATGCCGCCAGTCCAAGGACCAGTTGCCGCCGCTACCAATCGCGATGGCCGACCTGGCATGGAAATGCTTTCAGATCAAGTGTCAGTGACGACGTTCTACGCGCCCAATGTACGTGCCAGTTGCATGCTCTTCCAACATTCGCAGTGCTTGTGGTTGTCGATTGATACAAATGTATCATTGCTACATATTTGGCACGAGGAATTTCCGCGCATGTTATAGCTTTTTGGATCGTGTGGTGTGATACTACCTTGCCTTAGACTACCGAGCGTGGCGATAGCTCGGCCGACACGACCCCGTCAAGCACTCTGAGCAGCGGAGATGACGTCCATGGTGTCGACACGTATGCTACACACCGTGGCCCTGCAAACACACACTACGATGCATCCTCACGCGATATGTTTGTTTCCCAGGCAATTCAGCGATGCCGTGACCATCTACGACGACGAGAAGCTAGCCATCCTGTCGTTCTTAAACTACGTACGCCGCGTAATCTATACTCATTTGTCCGTTTCTTCAATCGTCCATCTTCTTGGGCAGATTCACGACAAGCCGCACGACGCTACTTTATGGAGGACACCGGCGCGACGACGGACGAAAGCCTCGGCCACTCGAAACGTGCCAACAATGTCGTCTATGCCACGTCTAGTTGACCAGCTACGGCCCCACGACCACCTGAACGATTCCAAACGTAAGCCGCCCCATGCCGACGACACACACAGCAGCAGCCTCACGTCGCCCAAGAAGAGACTCAAACACGACCAATCCTGCGTTTGCAATGCCCAAGTCCTGGATCGAACGCCCGACTCTTCCAATGGCCTCAACAGTCGGATGATGATTGTGTGTGCCAATAAACTCTGTCCTGACTCGACCAAGTCGTACCATCTCTCTTGTGTTGGCTTGGAAGAAGACACTCCATCGTCGTGGTACAATATATATATATATATATATATATATTAGGCGCGGAATTAAGAGGATGCCCATATTATTGTATGGTGGTCGTAGGCACTGCCCAAGCTGCACAACGTTGCAGTCGTCGTCGTACTTGACTATTCCATTGGCGACAGGCAAGGCCGTGCCTGAAAACCTGTTTCGCAAGCCAGCGTTGAGTATCACGTATGGAGACATGATTGCCATGGCCCTTCGCGCAACATCTCATGGCGAGGTATGTGTGCTTTGGTTTACAAGCAAATATACTATAGTATAATATGCTGTTGGGTGTGTGGGTGAATTTATTTATATATATATATACATGTATTTATATTTATATATATACATATATATATATACATGTATTTATATATCTATATACATATATATATATATACATATATAGATTGACTTGGATGTGTGGTGAATATTTATATGAATTTAAATATATATATATATATGGATTAATATGCATCTGTGGTAAATCTACAAATGCATTTATATAAATAGATTTATATCTAGAGATTCACCACACATCCATAAACATTTATATATATATATAGATTTGATACGATTTCGTGAACGCTGTCGAGATGAACACGTTGGCATGGTCATAGGGCACATTTAAGCAAATCTGCGAGTTCATCGAACGCCGATACGAAACCCAGTTGAACTGGAAACTGGAAAGGTGCTCAAATATAGTGACATATCGTAGTAACCGTGTCGTTCATTCGTAGTGACCAACGCAAATCACCCGTGTGGAAGTCGTCTGTTCGTAAAATCCTGTTTTCCAACCCCCGCTTCGCCCGCCATCCGAATTTGAAGGGCGTGTTTTGTCTCGTGGAGCCGTCTCCAGCTGCCACGTCATCGCCCCTGACGGCATAACCCACGCTGTTTAGTAGTACTGTATATAACCAATTGTATATGTATCAGGTCAGTCGTACACTATGTGTGGCGGCGAGGTAGTTTTTCTGTAGGAACGGCCATTCCATGTCACTATACTCGACAACACCTTCATTTTACGGCAAACTTTATATGGAATATGCAATAAAATAAATAATACTATTGTTATAATACAGTTTTAGGTGCCTCTGGCCCCTCCTTTCATATTCAGCTCGAATCAGTAAAGTCGTAGAAATCATATTCTCCAAAAATCGATGCAAAAAACCAGAAGAAAATATTGTAAAGTTTCCAGACCCCGTCGAATCGAATCACAAATCATCGACGCTACAGTATTGGCTCATCCAATTTTGAGTGGATTTGATTGGCTATTACAGAAAGAACATGTACAGTAGTAAGCCACCCGAATTTCGGAAATATATAGCGAATTCACAATAGCTTGAATGATAGTTTTCTGGCCCCTTTCAGCCGTTCATACACCTTCAACTGCGGGAAGCTGCAACACATTTTCTCATGGGCAATATGGTTGTGCATTTATTCTAATCTGGAGCGACATGGAGAATGAATCGACACAACCAAATGATGTAGAATCGGCAGAAGGAGGATTTATCCAATCAGATTGCAGGAAAGCACCATCAACGTCAAATTAGTGTTTGACTTCAATTAGTGTAATACCATTCCGCACAGGACACTTTTGGCCATACAAAAAAACTCAGTACAAAGAATCGATCGATGGATGATTTTTGGCGAATCAGCACAAAAGTCAACCAAATTTTGGGTAAAAGAAAGAATACCGACACAGTCTGCTTGCTTCGTTCATGCAACACCACTACATCGCATACGTCAAGAAAACTCCCAAAGAGTCTCCGCTTGAATGGGTCCTTGCCTTGTCGACTGATTCGAAGAAAGTGGACGAATACCAAAATCTGGCACAAAACGTACAAGATATATATATATATACCCTGGAATCGTACAAATTATCTTGCACCGTTGGTCACCATTATATCAGAAACATGATTGTATAGAAAGTATGGTTCCCAGACAGTGCATTTTGTGTCAAAACAGTCTTTTTACAAGAAACTCGTGATAGTATATATGTGCCAAATTATCGTAAAAAACGCGGGGGCCAGGGCCGGCCATACATCTTAATTCCCATTCATTAACTGTAAACAGTATTGAAGTATTTAGGCCGAGTCTGGATGCCACAGAAAATTATATCAAATAATATTCTGAGAGAGAATTCCCTTTTCGAACGGGAGATAAGTTACTGTAAAAATTAATTTGTAGCTTATTTTGGTGTGACCATGATTCAAACCTGCTACAGTATCGATATGGAGTATCATGTAGGTAAAACTTGGACAGTTGCAGTAAAACTTTTTTCTAACAGAAAAGAGTACAAATTGGGCACATTATATGCAATTCTTGTCTGTTTGGCTACCAATCTGACATACCAGTATGTCAGATTTGTCTTGTGGATTCGACATGAATTTCCAGACCCCGTCGAATCAATCTCGCCGCCGAAACGAATCACGAATCGACGCTATTGGTCAATCTATTTTTGAGTAGATGATTGGCTCTTACAGAAAGGACAAGTATATTCAACCAATCACAACTCTGGCGTGATTCAATAGTATTGATTAGACAAACCAGGCGAATTTTGCAAGTTTATAGCGAATTCACAATAGCCACACAGACTAGAATTGCAGTTTGAAAGTTGTTATAAATTTGCTGATTTATTGTGGCTGCCACAAGGGAGGGCCCTTCGATATAACAACTACAACTTTTTTTCAATGAATTTAAAACTATTTCAGATTCTATATTAAATATTAACGATAGTTTTGCTCAATCGGTAGTACTCATGTCATCGAGACATCATTCGTTGCCGATGCTGGAAAATGAAACTGCTCGTGGGACCCTCAACTGCATCATATTTGCAGTCGTAATTTGGTCCCTCCACGACCAAACGAATACAGTACAACAAATCAATTTTTCACTACAACATTGGTAAAACAGTTCATAATAATAACATCAAGCACCTACATACTGTATGTAGGCGATATTAATACTATTAATATAATGGCACATTTACGGATTTCCAGACCAATCGAATCTCACCGCCGACTCGAATCACGAATCGACGCTATTGGCAGCAATCCAGTTTTTAGTGGATTTGATTGGCTCTTACAGAAAGCACAAGTATATCCACCAGCCAATCAGAGAGCTCCAGCGTGATTCAACAAACCACGCGAATTTTGCAAGTTTATAGCAAATTCACAATATGTGGGTATTCATTTTTCACTATTAATAGTACCTACTATTAATACTATTAATCCTATAAGGAAGCCGGGGGTTGCTGTCGAATCAAGTCGAGCAACGTGGCAGGGTCCCATGCTTCTTGAGCAACTTCGTAAGCCACGGCGAAGTTTCGAAATTGTACTGATGGGGCTTCTCTTCCAGATATTACTCCTGCCCTGGTTGCGTTGGACATAGCGTTAGAATAATACTTGGTCATGTTGGCAAACACCACGGCACCATCCCTACATATGAATGTTAATAAATGAAAACACATTTACATATCATTATATACGCTATAGATAATCCATTTGAATGTTAATAAATGAAACATCATTTACATATCATTATACTGTATACGCTAACGTTATAGATAATTCATTTAGGTCGTTGGTTTCCTCACCAGGAGATGGATTGTGTCCAGTTAGAAGCATCCTGTGGATCATCTTCGTCGTCGACATGCACGCGGACGCCTGCGTCCAAGAGCTGGCCGAGTGCCTTCGTAGGCAACACAGTCGATGGAGATGATGCGCGGAAGGCAACGCCAGCCACGTTCAGGTACGTTCGATTGGTGGTGATGGGGTCGTAGTGGAAGTTGGCCGTGAGCACCTGGAACGCTGCGTCACACACCCGAGCGTCTTGACCCATGAAAAGCATCTGAAGGTGCACGAGGGGAGGTTATGTAGTGATTGATCTGTACGAGATGGGACGACGAGCGTACTTCGCGCTTGGTACTGATGTTCGCGGCGCGGAGGGTGGAGGCCAAGAACGCGTGCAAGTCGACTTGGAGGTCCTCTGCATATCGGAGGTACAGCACATGGGCATCTCGATTCAATGCATGGGGATTCCTTATCCACGACGAGGTCGCGGCGGCGTTGTTGGTAGGCGCAATGCAAGGAAGGAGCGCTGGGGGCGGGTCTGAACGTGAAAAGTGCACAAGCAACGGCAAGGACGAGCTGTTGAGGGTCGAGGATGGCACCGCCGCTCGAGCAAAGTAGTACGATGTGATCGCAGAGGTCGTTCTATCATCGCACACAGTGTTATCAAAGGAGCATGCAAGGGAGAACGCATACCCGTACAATCCGGCCTTGGCAAGGAAACATGCGCCGCCGCCATATTCATCCACTTCTTCGACTTTGCTGGGTACATTGACTGACGATTGAGGAAAAAAGAGAATGCATCCGCCAATCGCCACGGCTGCGCACCCCCCCCCTCCGACAAGCATTGCGATCCGGCGACGGTGGTTGTGCACCACTGGAGGAGGGTCGTGCAGCAGATTGTCGTTGTCCCGACCGCTTCTAGCGGCAAGATCATCATCTACGTGGTCCGGGGTCGCGGTAACAACTTCCATGTTGATGCTGCTTCTCGAACTGCCGTCGCTGCCATATGTCTTGCGTGTCATCATTGTACACAACACAAAGAGGCAAAGAGGTGTGGTGGAATACCGGATAAACCGACTATTATCCGGAAGATCGCGTTGTGGCTTTATGCGCCTTCTTTTCCTCGTCCACATTGTTCTGCTTGTTGTACTTCTGAAGGCCAACGATGTAGTGGCGCGCAGTTGTGTCCTGTGCTGGGTTCGGCGCCACTCGTCTGGCGTTGAAGTAGGCAACAAGGGCTGACTTGGCCAAGTCGATGGTCCTCGCCTTCTTGCCCTGGCTGTACAGGTAGTGAAAGAAG